TTTTATTCACCTGGTTTACCATAAATGTATAGAGGGGTCCTCGACTTACGTCGGAGATCCGTTCCTACGGCGCGACGTAACCTGATTTTCAACGAAGCTCGGAAATCACCTACATAAGAACCCACGAGTCTGCCTTACGACTGAGAGCCATAACGAAGGGCAAAAAGTCCCCCCCAAAAAAAACGGCGCAAACGAGAGATAACGAATGTAGCACAATCCAATATGGCGTACAGCCGGTGAAGAAACAATATCATCTTCCTCATATAGCGCCGCGTGATGATGTATTATATTATAAGAGATGGTGCCGTAACCATGAAACGCCGTAAGTCATGTCCGACGTAACCCGAGGACCTTCTGTTGTACAAAATTTGCAAGGATTTAAATTCCTATACTAATTACAACTTCAATAATATATTGGGGGGAACTTTGCCTTTCTTCTCTTCCCAGTCTTGACAAAGTTCAAAACCGTTTTCCATAGCCTTATGGGTGATGAATAGTTTTCCACTCTACAATCACATTCCCAGAGACAAAGCTTTGCTATCCTTTTGTTACTCTGTCGTTATTTTCACGATTGATGTTCGGGCGAAGTACATTCTTTGGTCCACTAGTCCAGATCTTCACAGCGAGGACCTACCTGGCCACGTACACGGAGCCGATTCATCCTTATTCCCTTTATATCATTTTTGAGGCTGTGACCCAATCAGACAGCTTCTCCCCCTCAAAAATGTTACAAAATAGAACTGACTCCCTAAAAGATGGCTTCCCAAGCACTACAATTTTAACCTATCCATATCGAGGGTCAACAGTTTCTTTTTTTTAACTTACATATGCTCATCATATGATCCTTATTCTCCTTCCCTGTACGCCCTTATAACAATTTCATTTTGAAACCCTCTACCTCAAAGGACTCTTGGCCATTGTATAGATAAACAATAGTAAGAAAAAAACTCTTTCTCTTTTGAAGATGATAATAATAATGGTGATTAGAATATTTATTATAATGAGCGCTCCCTTCATCTCACGTCATCTCACGTCATCCCTCCACACTCACCCCCCCCCACGCACTACGAAAAAGACTCTCCGTTTTCTGCGTCTCTCAGGAATTGTCATTTGATTGAGGTCGACATCTTTTCTGCGAAACCCCCGTCGCTGAACGAAGCTGACGACATTTTTCTCACGCTTCCTGACTTCACTTGACTGGCAATCGACTAATTGCACATTCGGCCCCATTGATTCAGTAACCGCCAATGATTCGCGCCCTTTTTTCTTTACAATATTCTTTTTTTCCTTTTCCCTTTCCTTAGAGTTCCTCCATCTTCGTTTTTCTGCCTCATTTTAATTCTCTTTTATCTATTCTATTCCTTCTTTGTCTTCCTCTACTCCCACTTCCCTCTACTTCTCTTCTTCTTCTTCTCCCTCTTCTTCTTCTTCTTCTTCTTCTTCTTCTTCCTCTTTTTCTTCTTCTTCTTCTTTCTTTCTTTCTTTCTTTCTTTCTTTCTTTATTTATTTATTTATTTCTCTCTTTATTCATTTATTTCTGTCCTTCTTTCTTTCTGTCTTTCTTTCTACCTGTCTCTTTCTTTATTTCCTCAGAACTGTATTTTTATTTACTTTTTATATAACCAAATCTGCAGCACCTCTCTCAGTAATCTTGAATTCTCTTCTTTTCAGTTTATTTTCTTTTATCATTTCGTTTTATTTTCTTTTTCTTCCGCCATCTCTTCTTTCGCCATCTTTTCTTTCGCCACCTTTTCTTCCGCCATCTTTTTTTTGCCCTCTTTTCTTCCGCGATCTTTTCTTCTGCCATCTTTTCTTCCGCTATCTTTTCTTTCGCCATCTTTTCTTCCACAATCTTTTCTTTAACCATCTTTTCTTCCGCCATCTTTTCTTCCTTCCTCTTTTCTTTCGCTATCTTTTCTTCCGCCATTTTTTTTTTCCATCATCTTTTCTTCCGCCATCTTTTCATTCGCCAACATTTCTTCCGCCATCTTTTCTTTCGCCATCTTTTCTTATATTTTTTCTTTCTTTTTTTATTATATTTTCCTTCTATTTATTCCTTCTTTTTATATTATCCATTTCTTCAACTTCTTCTTATTCTTCTCTCTTGTCTCCTGCCATCTATATGTTCAAATTCGATCATTTGCTTTTTATCTCGCTCTACATCCGTATCTAATATACCTGCGCGCATGCGTGGCTACTCATATTTTTAAAATTCATCGAGCCTCGAATAACGTTCGAACAGTTGACAACCCGAAAACTCATGCAATCTTCACTATGCTCTTCCTTTCCAAACCTTTGTTTCTGTTTGGTTATGTTGTTGTTTTCTTTTTCTCTCATTGACAGTCAAACTGCCAATGAGTTTTGCAAGTTAATGTGATTATGAAAGTGAAAGTGAAAGTGAAAGTAAAATAAATTTAAAAGTAGATAATCTTAAAACGTCTTTACGGATGAAGATGAAAGATAAAAGTGCAGAAAATTAAGCCGGAAACTCAGCAGCTGATGAGATGAAGATGAGACACGTGAACATTAAAAATAAGTTTGCAAGATGGATAGAGAATAGATAAGAAATATTAGAGACGTTAGGTCTTTTAGATATAGAGAACCCCGTGGATTGTTCTATAAATCGAGACATGAAAAGGCATATATATATATATATATATATATATATATATATATATATATATATATATATATATATATATATAAAATGCAGGTGACGATGAATAGATAGATATTGTTAGGAATAGTGTGATGAGGATACGTAGAAAGAAAGATAACAAAAGTACTAAAGAGAGGGATATATAAAGAAAAGGTGTCATGTGAATGAGATACACACAATCACACACACACACACACACACACATATATATATATATATATATTCACATTCTACGTATCCCTCATCTCTCTATTCCTAATAATGTCTATCTATTCATATATATATATATATATATATATATATATATATATATATATATATATATATATATCTATATATATATACATATATCGCATTCACATGACACATTGTCTTTATATATCCCTCTCTTTAGTATATATATATATAGAGAGAGACAGACAGACAGACAGACAGAGACAGAGACTGAGACAGAGAGAGATTACTCCTCCCAACCCTCATCACTCTAACTAACAATATCTATCTATCCATATATATATATATATCTCATTCACATGACACCTTTTCTTTATATATCCCCCTCTTTAGTATATATATATATATATGTATAGATAGATAGATAGATAGTTAGATTACTCCTGCCATCCCTCATCACTCTATTCCTAACAATGTCTATCTATTTATGTATATATATATCATTCACATGACACCTTTTGTTTATATATCGAAGAACGAAAAGAATATAAATTCAAACGTTCATAACATTAATTTAAAAAGGTCTCAACTCAAATGTACATATATATATATATATATATATATATATATATATATATGGAGAGAGAGAGAGGGGGAGAGGGAGAGAGATATGGACATTCATTTTCGTCCTTATATAGATAGATAGATAGATAGATAGATAGATTACTCCTCCCATCCTCTTTGTCTTTTTCCCCCCTCTCTCTCTCTCTCTCGCACTCTCTCTCTCTCTCCCACACAGCTTTTGTCTTTCTTTAAGCAGGCTTTTTCTTTTTTCATTCTTTGTTTCTTTGTTTCTTTGCCAAAATATTAATACGTTCGCCAGAGAAAAATATTTAAAGAAATAAAAATATAATTGCCTGGAAGAAAAATCAAACATGATCGTCTATTCAGCTTCAGTTCGAGCGGTTATCAATACGTAATAAAGCTGTAAAGTATCCCACCTCACACACACACACACCTGTCATTTCCAACTGAATATCACAACTCTATGTCCGCCGCCCTATCGGCGCTGGACATCACACGAAGGCAGTCCCGTGTGACAGACACAAAGGTGTCTGTCACAATGACTTGTCAACTTTTTTTATCTCTTTTCTCTTTCTGATCTGCAAATTTCTGCATTGTTCTTCAAAATCTTTTTTTCTGTTTTTCTGACACTTTATCTATCTATCTATCTATCTATCTATCTATCTATCTATCTATCTATCTATCTATCTATCTATCTATCTATCTCAGTCTGTTCATATCAATCACAGTCTATTCTTATCTATCTATCTATCTATCTATCTATCTATCTATCTCTGTCTCTTTATATCTATCGTAATGTCTTCATATCTATCTATCTATCTATCTATCTATCTCATTCTGATCATATCTATCTATCTCATTCTGTTCATATCAATCAGAGTCTATTCTTATCTGTCTATCTAAATGTGTTCATATCTATCTATCTATCTATCTATCTATCTCCGTCTGTTCATATCTTTACCAGCTTTTAGGTTTTTATATATATTTATATATATATATATATATATATATATATATATATATTTTTCTGAGATATGATGTATTATTTACGTTATTTACATTGTTCGGATTATCATCCTCAACTTTGTTGGCATATTTATCACAACGTTTCGGCCGTTGTACGCTCCGGCCTTCTTCAGGTGGTTGGAATGTCGAACTGAACTCTTTATTTCGCTAGACTGTTCTAGTTCCACGTGCCATATCTAATGGATGTCAGTTATCAGTTATCGCCTGTTAATTCCCCTCTCCAAGTTCTACACCGCCTTAACCGGGTATTGAACTCACACTCTTTGGGTTCTTTCACTGGATCTAACTAACGCCAACAGTCTCTCAATTTTCAGTCATTTTCTTTCATATTTTCTTTCTCTCGTTTTTAATTCTGTTTTCCTTCTCTCTTTTTTCTTTCTCCCTTTTACTTTTACTATCTCTCTTCGTTCATCATTCATCACATTCTCTCTCTCTCTCTCTCTCTCTCTCTCTTACTTTTTCTTATTTCTCTATTTTTCTTTCTTTCTCTGTTTTTATTTCTTTCGATTTTTTCATTCATTTTTTTCTTCTTTATTCTATCTCTCTTTTTATTTCTCCCTATATTTTCTATACCTTTTCGTCTTTTCTCTTTCTTTTACCCACAAATTCCCTTCAGTTCTTCTCTTTCTCTCTCTTTCTCTTTCTTCCTCTCTGTGTCTCACATTCTCTCTCTCTCTCTCTCTCTCTCTTACTTTTTCTTATTTCTCTATTTTTCTTTCTTTCTCTGTTTTTATTTCTTTCGATTTTTTCATTCATTTTTTTCTTCTTTATTCTATCTCTCTTTTTATTTCTCCCTATATTTTCTATACCTTTTCGTCTTTTCTCTTTCTTTTACCCAGAAATTCCCTTCAGTTCTTCTCTTTTCCCCTCTCTCTCTCTCTCTCTCTCTCTCTTTCTTTCTTTCTTCCTCTCTGTGTCTCACTTTCTCTCGTTTTCTCCCTCTCTTATCTATCTTTTGGTCTCTCGTTCTTTCCAGCTCAATTTCCTACATTTACTTGATTCTTTCTATTTAACAGGTTACAATTTACACTTTCTTTCTCTCTTTCATCCTTTCTCTCTTTCTCTCCATCTTTCTCTCTTTCCCCCTTTATCTCTCTCTATCTTTCTTTCTCTCTTTCCCCTTTTCTCTCTATCTCCTTCTTTCTCTCTTTCCCCCTTTATCTCTCTCCATCTTTCTTTCTCTCTTTCCCCTTTTTCTATCTCTCCTTCCTTCTTTCTTTCCCCCTTTATCCCTCTCTCTTCGTCTTTCTCTCTTTCCCCCTTTTCTCTTTCTCCTTCTTTCTCTCTGTCCCCTTTATCTCTCTCCTTTCTCTTTTTCCCCCTTTTTCTATCTCCTTCCTTCTTTCTTTCCCCTTACATCTCTCTCTCCTTCTTCTTCTCTTTCCCCCTTTATTTTTCTCTCCTTCTTTCTCTCTTTCCCCCTTTATCTCTCTCTATCTATCTTTCTCTCTTTCCCTTTTTCTATCTCCCCTTCCTTCTTTCTTTCCCCTTTATCTCTCTATCTTCGTCTTTCTCTCTTTCCCCTTTTCTCTTTCTCCTTCCTTCTCTCTTTCTCCTTTATCTTTCTCTTTTCTCTATTTCCCCTTTCTCTCTCCCTTTTCCCCTCTCTCTTTCTCTCTTTCACCTTTTTCTCTCTTTGTCTCTACCCCTTTTTTCTCTCCTTTCTCTCTTTCCACCTTTTCTCTCTCTCTCTCTCTCTCTTCTTTTCCTCTTTCTCCCTCTCTTCTTCTTTCTCTCTTTCCCCCTTTTTGTGTCTCCTTCTTTCTCTCTTTCTTGAAGCTTTAGACTATATATGGCTCACTCGCCTTTCTTATCTTCTTACCCTATTCCTTATCACCTCTTACCTCATTCACCGCCACCTCTTTTTATCTCCATTTGCCTTTTCCTACACTACACATTTCCCCACTTCTTTCTTTTCCTCCTCCTCCTCCCCCTCCTCCACTTTCATTTATCTCCCCCGTCCTGCCCGTCTCCCCTTTTTACTCCGATATCTCCTGACGCCTATCCTCATCTTCACACCTCAATTTCTGTTCTTTGATGACCGCACCTTTTACTCACAACGCGGCCATTTTCTCCCAACGCAGCGCCACCTATACTTCAGCCATCACCTTCACGCTCCCCACCCCTTTGCTTCTCGCATTCAATTTCTTTTCGCGCCTTGCCCCTTGCCTTGTTACGACTGCGCGTACCACGACAACGTTTGAACTTCCAAATGTCGGTGTTCATATCAAAGTAGTAGCAATATAGTTTCACAACGCTAGGATAACGCCAGAGTTCACTGGTCGGGGTCGAGCGACTCGTTAACAATTTAGCCAGGTGATTTCGCTTCGACGACTAACGTTCCACTCCTACCACCTTATATTTCATGTTTCTTAATGTGTGTTAAGAGTATAGAGCTAAAAGGTGCCTTGCGATTTCTACGGGAAATGTCTTTACAAGAATTATAAGTCAACCTCAAAGATGAAGAAGGGGCTTGAAGCAAGAGAAATGTCGTTCAAAAAGATGCTGAGGATACCGTGGACAGAGCATGTGGGCAACGACGAGGTTTTGGAGAAAATGGAAACAAATGGAAACTTATATTTAACATCAGGAAGAGGCAGTTGAAATTTCTTGGGTACGTAAAGAGAAAAGAGGGCTTGGAAAATCTGATACTCATAGGACAGATTGAGGGAAAGACGGACAGAGGAAAACAGCGTGTCACATATTTGATGGGCTTGATGAAATGGATGGTAAAACAGGAGAAATAATCTTTTTCTTTTCTCTTCTTTTTCTTCTTTTTCCTTTCTCTTCTTTTCCTTGTTTTCTTCTTTTTCTTTCTCTTCTTTTTCCTTTTTCTTCTTTTTCTTCTTTTTCCTTTCTCTTTTCTTCTTTTTTCTTTCTCTTTTCTTCCTTCTTTTTCTTTTCTCTTCTTTTTTCTTTTTCTTTCTTTTTCTTTTTTCTTTTTCTTTTTTTTTCTTTTCCTTTTTCTTCTTTTCTTTTTTCCTTTCTCTTCTTTTTCTTTCTTTTCTTTTTCTTCTTTTTTTCTTTCTTTTCCTTTTCTTCTTTTCTTCTTTTTTCCTTTCTCTTCTTTTCTTCTTTTTCTTTTTTCCTTTCTTTCTTTTCTTTTTTTCCTTTTTTTTGTCTTCTTTTTCTTTCTTTTCTCTTCTTTTTTTTTTCCTTTTCTTTTACTTTTTTCTCTTTCTCTTTTACTTTCGATTTTCTTCTTTTCCTCCAGTATCCTTTGTAGAACTACATTTCCAGTCGCCTTCTCTTCATTTTTTTATTTCTCTTTTCTCTTTGACAAGCTTTTTCCACATTTCTTTTCAATTCCTGTCATATAGGAGGATTGATATTGCATAGCACTTCAGCACTCCTTTTTTCGGTTTCTTATATAATCATCCTATTTCTTAATACAGGATGCGACAGAAATATCTCCACCATTTTAAAGACTGACAAAAAGACCAAGGTACCTGTTATTAAAAAAAATGATTTCACTGTTGATTAAAAAAAGGTCTAGTTTTTATTGATTTTTCCACCATTTTAAAGACTGACAAAAATTATTTCATTGTTGATTAAAAAAGGTCTGTTTTCATTGATTTTCCATTAAAAAAAAAACACCAAGGTCTAATTTTTCATTGTTGATTAAAAAAAGGTCTAGTTTTCATTGACTTTTCCACCATTTTAAAGACTGACAAAAGACACTGTTGATTAAAAAACGGTCTAATTTTCATTGACTTTTCCACCATTTTAAAGACTGACAAAAGACACTGTTGATTAAAAAAAGGTCTAATTTTCATTGACTTTTCCACCATTTTAAAGACTGACAAAAGACACTGTTGATTAAAAAAAGGTCTAATTTTCATTGACTTTTCCGCCATCTTAAAGACTGACAAAAGACACTGTTGATTAAAAAAAAAAGGTCTAATTTTCATTGACTTGTAAAAATGACATCCTCCAAATCATGGCCTATATTCACTATAAACTGTTTTAAACAATTTCTAAAGATTTCCATCACCCGTAAGTTCGAGGTCTTCCAGGTGGCGTTCTTAAGCGTTCAGCCTGTGGCCCTGAATGTTTCAACCCACAGCAAGCATCGATTTTCTATGCGGGACAACATTATTTCGAGATAACATGAAATAAATATGAAAATCTCTCTGTGTTGTAATAACAGATTCACCAGTCTTAAAAGATGTTTCAACAGCGAAGGCACATTAGCCAGATGAAGAAACCATTGCCACTTGCCTAAGTTCACGAGCACCACACGGGTAACAGTTTAAAATTTGGGAGGTATTTCTGTCGCAGCTTGTACTTTGCTTAGCTTTTGGAAGAGACTTTTTCCTATGTATCCTCGAACTTGCTACAATTTAGTTGTTCCTGATTTTTTTTTTAAAGGTTGTATTGATCGTGTGCTTACAAGTGATAATAAAGGGCCCTTTTGTGATAAACAAAATTCTGGCTTTCAGTTGTACAACACAATTGTTCCGATTTCGACATTCCCAAACTCAAAATCATCACGCCCTAAAAGATCCTTATAACCACATGGTAGGGGCTATTTTCCAGATTTATAAGACATATTTGCTGGCAGTGTTGAGCCAAAAGGGTCCAGGAACTTATATTTCACAAACCAAAATGTGATGACGATAGCACTCAGCAACACTCTACTTTTTTTTTTTCACCGAACCCGTCTTCGGGCCTTAGATGCATATACCCTACAGCAATTCAACGCGGGATCGTTAGTGTCGGTTCTAAATCTGTGATTACGTTGACGGATAAAATCGTGCTTGGTCTGTGAAATGACGTTTTGAACTTTGATTCTTCAGGGTAGCAGACGTCACACTTTGAAATATTGGCGGAGCACAATCTTTATATCGAAATGAGAACGATTCCGTTTTTGCGGTATTAATTTATAATCAGCAAGTATTAGATAGTTTAAAGGTATTTTATGATATTTAGCCTCTAGTTGTCTTCCCGCCTCATTATATATGAACAGACTGTGATAGATAGATAGATAGATAGATGAATAGATAGATAGATAGATAGATAGATGAATAGATAGATAGTGTGAGATAGATAGATGAATAGATAATGAATAGAGTGAGATAGATAGATAGATAGATGAATAGATAGATAGATGAATGGATAGATAGATAGATAGATAGATAGATAGATAATGAATAGAGTGAGATAGATAGATAGATAGATGATATAGATAGATAGATAGATAGATAGATAGATAGATAGATATAGAATGGATGATGAATGAATGAATAGATAGATAGATAGATAGATAGATGAATGAATAGATGAATGAATGAATAGAGTGAGATAGATATGATAGATAGATAGATAGATAGATGAATGATAGATATGAATAGATAATGAATAGAATAGATAGATAGATAGATAGATATAGATAGATAGATAGATAGATGAATAGATAATGAATAGAGTGAGATAGTTAGATAGATAGATAGATAGATAGATAGATAGATAGATAATGAAGATAGATAATGAATAGAGTGATAGATAGATAGATAGATAGATAGATAGATAGATAGATAGATAGATAGATACCATTTGGTGATTCCCTCTGCTCCCCAAAATCCACCATTTCTCCCTCTCCATCCACTTCACTATCTCTTTTTCCTCTTATTTCCATCTCTTCTTCTCTTTCGCTGCCTCTCTCTCTCTCTCGCTTTCGCTTTTTTTTTTTTTCGTTTCCTCTTTTCCTTTTTCTTCTCCTAAAAACGCTTTCTCCGCCCCCCCTCGCGATCTCCTTCACAGTACAAAGCAATCATGACAGCTGTCCAATCGAACACCCAACAAGATTAACATCGCTTTACTGTCGAGAGGACACGATCCTCTCTCTGCTTGGGAGGCAGCTCCTATTTCCCCACCCCGATCTATGAGGATTTTCGGCTATTCTCCAGAGGGCTTCTTGAATCACTGTTTATACACACACACACACACGAAATTTCCATCGACTTGCTCAGAATGCATGCGTTCACATTAACATTTCATATCCATGAATGGTTGGGGGATCTTCACTGTTCGTCTTCCCCCTATTTTTTTGCGTTTCACATTCACATTTGACCTTTACTGCCATTTTTCTCCTTCTCTCTCTCTCTCTCTCTCTCTCTCTATCTATCTATCTATCTATCTCTCTTTCTCTCACTCCCTTCCCCCTCTCTCTCTTTCTCTCTCTCTTTCTCTCTCTCTCCCTTCCCCTCTCTCTCTCACTCTCTCCCTTTCTCGCTCTGTTTGCATTCTTCTCTCTGTGTCTCTCTGTCAGCCACTGTCTCTTTTTCTGTTACATTCTATCTTTCTGTCCCGCTTTATGATTACTATGTTTCTTTATCTAATTTTCTGTTTATTCTGCCCCACCTCTTCTTTCTCCATCTCTCTCTCTCTCCCCCCCCTCTCTCTCTCTCTCTCTCTCTCTCTCCCTTGCTTTATCTTTTACGTGCTATTTGCTCTCTATCCTTCTTTTTCTCTTTGCTTGTCTCTGTCTTTCTGTCTTCTAAATTTTATCTTCCTCCTACTCCTCCTCTTTCTCTTTTTCTCCCCTTCTCTCTCACTGTCACATTATCTCTCTCTCTCTCTCTCTCTCTCTCTATATATATATATATATATATATATATATATATATATATGTGTGTGTGTGTGTGTGTATGTGTGTGTACGTGTGTGTGTGAATCTTTGTCTTTGCCTCTATATCTGTCTCTATATATCAGTTTACCTCGTTTGTCTTTGCATGACAATCTCTCTTTATTTCTCTCTCACTCACTCTCTCTCTCTTTTCCATACATGTATGTATGTATGTATGTATGTATGTAGATGTGCATTCATGTGTTTCCACGTTTCTTTGCCTCTTTGTTGTTGTCTTTTTCTCACTCTCAATATATATATATGTATATATATATATATATATAGGAGAAAAATATACACGCGCATATATATATATATATATATATATATATATATATATATATATATATGTGCGTGTGTATCTTTTTCTCCTCTCTACTCCCTCACGCTGTCTGTTTCTCTCTATATACATTTACTTCATGCTCTATGCTCCTCTCTCTCTCTCTCTCTCTCTCTCTCTCTCTCTCTCTCTCTCTCTCTCTCTCTCTCTAGTATTTATTCTGTTTTTTCTCATCCTCCTCTCATCCCTAAACCGTCTGTCTGACCCGGTCTCGTTCACCAAAGCGACAACTGTCCAATTCTTGCCCACAGATGCAGTAAACACGTTTGGCAAATATTTAAACTGGATTGTCTTTTCTTGACTCTCGTGCGCAGGCGTACTCGTGTTTCGCGTACGACTCCCGCTCAGTTCCTCTGGAGAACCGTATGTGTCCATGATGCGTACGAACGCGCTTGCGCATTTCTACAACGGCGGACATTTTGTATGTTTTCCTACGCAATAAACAAGCCGTGGGCTTGGACACACACTGAAGTGAAAAAGATAAACACAACTCACTCTCTGTCCCCCTGTTTCACACACACACACAACACACACAACACACAACACACACACACACACACAACACACACACGCGCATACATTCTATTTCTGTGGGTATTTATAAGAGCAGATTTGTAAGTCTCTGTGACAATTGTATTTCATTTTCAGGTGTATATATTACGGCGCAAATTAATAAGTGTAGTGATTCAAAATTTTGATCATAAAGGATGCAATGGAGAAATTACACAGAAATGAAAATAACACTGGTATCTCATTTTAATAGATATATTTAGTAAAATTACATAAAAATATCTAAATATAAAATCGCCATTGGCTTCAATCACGGCCTCCAGACGACTTCAGAATCTCCTGCAACTCTTCTGGACTGTCTCATTGTTTAAGTTGGTGAATGCTGCCATAATCCTTGCCTTCAGTTCATCTTTGGTGTTACAAGAAGTTTTGTTGGTCTCTCGTTCAACTGCGCCCCACACATAATAATCAAGGGGGTTGCAGTCTGGGGAGTTACGTGGCCAGATGTAAGGGTGGATGTGGTCGCAGAAACTGTATGGCAACCATGAATGGGTTCTCCTGATTGTGTGACATGATGCAGAGTCCTGTTGCCAGACATAGGATCTTCCAGCAGCCACCCTCTTGACCCAGGACAGCAGTATTTTCCTCAAGGCACAATGTAGTCCTCCGTGTTGAGTCAGAGGTCTTGTGGGAAGATGAACGAAGGCATAATATTGCCATCACTAGTGATTATCCCACCATGATGTTGACTAGATACATCATGCAACTGTTTCAAAATCCTCTGCACTGTCCTCAAATTGACACCCAGACACTCTGAAATGTTCGTATTGGAGCTTCCGGTGCGAATGCCAAGTAGTACATACCGTTTCCGAATTTCTGGCGGAATGAATTGCGTCATGGTGCTCTTTTTCTCGTAGACGGTGCCCAACAAACCTACTTTACTGTGCAGACGACAAAAGCAGAAAAGAAAGCGCATGCGCGAAGTTAAAAATATAAAATGGCGACAATTTACCCATCGCTCTTTGTAAATATTTCCACAAAACTCCGAAGTATTTCCGAGTAACCGAAATAAAGACAAAGGCGTGTACATTTACTAAGACTGACTTAAGAGCCAAAAATACTAAAATTCTTATACAAATTACCGATACGAAGATAAAAAATAACCAACCTGTCAATCCATAAAGATCTATGTATACATGAAGGCAGCTAAAGAAGCCATAAACCACTGAGTAAACCACAAAATTAACGTTCCGTCTTCACCAAGCTAGCCTGAGGTTTCCCTAACCATGATAAACAGTTCAACTCTAAAAGTCTCTTTTTTCCATAATCGTCTTCTAGGACGCAACCCAAAAACTCAAAAAGGGGAACTCATTTAAACTATCCATTGCTAAAGATGCTGGTAAAATAATCGACCTCTTTTACTATTCCAGAAAATACCCACCTCCTTCTGCCAGATCGGACCGAAACAGAGTAGTACTGCTAGAACTAAACTGGAGCTGCACAATCTTCCCTTTACAGCTCTGATTTCATAGTGTTTTGTATTTGTATAGGGTTCCCTATTTGCAGGAGGTTAATGAGTGTCAGAGAATCTGAATAAAAATACGTTTAAGAAGAGAGGACAATAAAAGAACAAGAATTTCTTAATTCTTGTTCTTTTATTGTCCTCTCAAGAAGATAACAATTGACGTTGCATTTACATTTTTGGAGATCAAAGTTGACTGGGAAGTAAGATGCCGGAAGAGAGTTACACATGCGAGAAGTGCAACGAAAGAAACGGTTAACAAAGAACTTACAGATTTTATGGTAATTTACCCACGCACGCATGGACTCTCCCAGCTATAAATAGGAGCAGGTACTGCCATTTGGGGAGGGAGGTTTCAGAGCAGTCAGCACCTGACGATGGCGTCTAGCATGAAACAGTCTTTCGCCTGTAAGTGTTGACTTCAATGTTCACTTTTATATTTACACACGCTCTATCTCTGGTATTGAGCACTTTATCCCATAAATATAGCACACCTTAAGACTATATTTCTTCATATATATATATATATATATATATATATATATATTCTGTTTGTCTTCTTTTTATCCTTTCCTCAGCTCAATACATACATACATACATACATACATATATATATATATGTGTGTGTGTGTGTGTGTGTGTAGAGTGTAACCCGGATATAAGAGACCCGGATATAAGAGAAACCCGGATATAAGAGAGATTTTCTCTGGTCCCAAAGTGTTCCCATACTTACCTAAACAAAATAGACCAAACCCGGATATAAGAGAAACCCGGATATAAGAGACTTCTTCTCCGGTCCCGACAACTCTCTTATATCCGGGTTACACTGTATATGTATATATATATAAATATAAAAGTGAACACAGAATCAACACTTAGAGGCGACAGTCTGTTTCTTGCGTTCTTTCTTTCTTTCTTACGTTCTTTCTTTCTTTCTTTCGTTCCCTCTTTCTTTATTTCGTTTGTTCTTTCTTTCTCTTTCTTTCTTTTTTGATTTCTTTCTTTCTTTCGTTCCCTCTTTTTTTATTTCGTTTGTTCTTTCTTTTTCTTTCTTTCTGTTTTGATTTCTTTCTTTCTATCGTTTTTTTTCTTTCGTTTCTTCGTTCTTTTTTATTTCTTAATATTTCCGTTCAATAATTTCTCTTTCGTTTTTATTCTTTATCTTTCTTTATTTCTTTAAATGTATCTCGTGCTATTTCCGTTTTTAAAACTCATTTCACTTTGAATATTCTCTCCCCACACACCCACATTTCTGCGACATCTTCATCAGAGGCTTCATAGTGGCCAACCACCCGACCCACACCAACGCATTTTCTGAGTCCCATCCCTGTGTAAAATCCATTAGTTGGAGTCAATCTAATTCTATTACAATATTTCATTTATTTAAAAATCCTGTGGGAAGTATAGAAAATGCCAAGGATATGTCACGTGTGCGAGTCAGTAAGGCTGAAACAGGGTCGAGGATACGAATGCGCATCCATGGCAGGAAGTACAAGATTGCAATCACTCACGCATGCGTGAAAGCAACTAGAGTTTCTGTAAGGGACATATCATGTC